GGGGGGGGGGTTGTGGGGGTGGCACATCACATGTTAATGTGGTGAGGGTTCTTGGTACCTCTAATCAGTCTCCCACCACTGACATCACTGGTTGCCAAGGGGGGCTCTTAGCCAGCTATGATGCTCTGGCTGGCGTCCCACTCAGCTCTTGGCAACCGGTGACGTCAGTGAGCTCGGCGGGATGCCGGACAGAGGTATTACAAGCTGTCAATTATTTTTGGTGTTGTGTTGGTGGTGCATGTTACCGGAGAGGGGTGCACAGCACCTCTGTCCAGCATCCTGGCCAGACAGTGCCAGACATCACTGGTTGCCAGAAGCTGGGCAGGACACCAGCCAGAGAATCACAGCTTTCTAAGAGCCCCCCATGTGACCCAATGGGTTTAGTCCTTTGTTAGGACAGACATTGTTCAAATCTAGTTTACAGGTGATAGTAAGATCTCCCAGCACAGTACAGACAGGGTTAATTACAGTAAACATAACTCCCCATCCCTAAAATTAAAGAGAATGAAAAAACTTTAGATTTGGAGATTTCAGAGAAGAACATTTAAAATGTTGTTGTTTTTCTAAGTTATGCTATGCAAAGGGAAACATGTATCAAATATTAAATAGATGTTATCCCAAATTGGCTGCAAAAGTTAAAATACATTTTAAAGGAAACCTCTCATAGGAGAAACTTGGAGGCTATCATTGCTGAAATGGCAGCTCATTACATTTTTCCCTCAAGTGTTGGTGGGCCGTAGACTTTTTTTTTGAATGACTATGGACCTGTGTCACTTCATTTTTCTACTTCTCTTGCAGATTCCACTCACAGTAATAAAGCCTGGTGAGAAGTCTGAGGTTCCTATTGGAGTGATCATTGGAAGTGCGTTAGCTGGACTGCTCTTACTTGCTGCATTGGTGGCTGGTCTGTGGAAGGTATTTTTTACACCAATTATTACAACTGCCACAAGAATTGTATTCCTTTCAAACATTATTGTGCTGCAAACTCTATGCCTACCATAAACAAGCATGCCCCTCTCTTACATCCACATTATCATGGAACCACCAAGCAGGTTTAGTTGTGGGAGTGTTAGATTTTACTTACGTTTTAGTGATTTTCAGTTGAAATAGTTCCAGCCAGTTGTCATGTATCATGTGTGGATGATCTGGCACACAGCAGAACTATTGGCGAGGGAAGTTTGACACGGCAAGATATTGATATGGTAGCAGATATATAGTGTGTGTTGGTGTGAGCTAATTAGATATTGGTTAAAAAACTTTCCCCCCTTTATGGTGTTATAATTTTATTACCATCTTCTCTATGCTCCAGCGTTTCCCTTAGCATTCTCTGCTGCTCATCACCAGCCACTTCCAGGTTGAATCCCTTTAAGCATCATACCACCTCTTTCTGTGAGCCCAGACTGTCAGACACTCCCTTCGGCATGTGTAATCACCTGGCCAGGGTCATCCCTAAAAGAGGTAGGCAGGCTGAGGTGGTTGCCTCAGACGACATCTCATTGGGTCACGTGGGGCAGCTAAGAGCTCTTAGCAACCTGTGATGCTCTGGTTGGTGTCCTGCCCAGCTCATGGCAACCAGTGACGTCAGTAAGCTGGGTGGGAAGCTGGAGGTAACTGGCCCATGGTCTTGTGCACCACCAGCACCACCTCTACTACTCCCCAATCTAATTGTGCACCCCAGCCCCCAACCCCCTCGACTCTAGGGGGACACCTCTAGGGACACCCCTGGCCCTGGGCTTACATTACTGCAGCTCTGAAAGGCATTCCCAGGTCATTCCACGTGCGCCATTCAGTGCTGCAGTAAGAAAAGCTGGCTGCCGAACCCGGAGGAGAAGAGGAGGGACACGACTGGGTTGGCCAAAAAAAAGATGGAATTAAAGAATCTATTTAGGGAAAAGGTGGGGTGGGTGTAGTCCAGGCAAGAGGTTGGGGGCCCTGTAGTGAAGCGGAAAATTGCTGGAGATTAGAGAACTATGGGGTCAGTGCTTTTCCCCATAGTTCTCCTAAGGGTAACAGGAGGACACAAACTAGTATCCTCCCGTCACCCAAAGCTCAGTATACCGCGAGCTGCAGCTCGCGGTATACTGAGACGCCGCCCCATTACAGATCCCCCCATTACTGTCTGCCATTACTGTCTGGATCCACCCAGCTGCGTGAGTGATAGCTGGCTCTGCCTATCCAGAGGCAGAGCCAGCTGTACCCGCCCCCTCCCCCGTCCGTTCCGCCAGTCAGCGCTGGAGGACCGGACAGGGGTGGTGGGAAATCCCTGCAGGGAGCCGTGAGCGACAGTCACGGCTCTCTGCAGGGACAGAATCAAGAAGTGCGCGACCGACGGTGTGTGTTAGCTCACTTCCCGATCTATTGAGCCGACCTGTGACAGTTTCATTGTTACAGGTCGGCTAGAATTATGAGTATGAGTGATTTTCACTCGCCTCATAGTTCTCCTTTATGGCACATTCAGTTTATATACACACCAATGTATCAATACAATACTTAAACCAACAATATAAGTGTAAACAATCCAACATGCATTATGTAAATTGATTTCTAGACATAACACCTTTATAGAAAGCAAACAGAGTATTTATAAGAAAGTACAAGTGATTCCTCTTAATGCGTCTCCTTCTGTGTTTTTTTAGCTTGGCTTTTTCAAAAGAAAATATCAAAAACTTCAGAAAACTGAAGATGAAATGGCAGAGACTGCTCAACTTAATTAACCATCGCCTTATTTTTTTGTAATAACTGTAATTTCTTAAGGAGAATTATTTGTACAAAGCTCTTTTTTATTTTATAAAATCAGGAAAGTTATTTTTATCAAACTGCAGGGCAGTTTGTTTTTTGGTATCGTCTTTTTTATTATATACCTTGACTAGCTGGACTGGGGATCTTCGCTACAATTTTGTGGTTTGAAATGTTAGTTTTTACATAGTTGAACATTTTTTTTTATGCAGTTGTACATTTTGGTTTACATTTTGTGTGTTTGGGAATTTCATTATTTGGATTACAAATGTATAGTTGCTTTTATCAAGGGAAATAAAACTAAATTAACATACAGTATAAATACTAATTATGACGCATTACAGAATTAAATAATAAACATTAGACTGCTTAGAGTAATATTTTCGCTAAAAGAGATGCATTAAATTAATATTTCTACAGTGTTTAGACTGTTTTGGGCAATAGTATACTACTTACAACTCAACATTATAGCATTAAAAAATAATGAATTATTATAGGCATACTAAATTTAAAAAATATATTTAAAGGGCTACAATCCCCTAATATTATATTCCTATACATGCATGTAGTTTATACAGTAATATTATTATTATTATACAGCATTTATATAGCACCAACAGTTTGTACAGCCCAATACAAAATGAATGGGGGCAGAACAGTTACAAAACAATTAAAGACAAGATGGTTAGGAGGGCCCTGCACTTTTGAGCATACAATCTGAAAGATTGTAAAATAGTATTCAGTATTCCCCATATTTCATTTCCAAGCACATCAAGCTATTATATTGATAGTGGTGCTTGAACTGTTGCGGTTTTATTTTTAAAGATTTTAAAGTGACACTAAACTCAGGAGTTAACTCTTTAAGTACCTTAACTAGTAACAAAAATTTATCTTATTTGTGTATCACTCGGCGGTAGATCCTCCAATCATCTCTGAATTGGTGCTGACACTGTCATTCTTCTGTTCCCCATGGTCCCTCTGTGTGTTGTAAAGTAGCCACCTCTTCAAGCTCGCTCCCATGGTAGACTAAAATCTCAATACAAATTATTAAACTAAACCTGAGATTGTAGTCCATCACAGGAGCGATCTGGAGCGGTGGCTACTTTACAACACGCACAGGTACCATGGGGAACAAAAGTAGCCACCCTCCAGAAGGAAGGACAGTGTCAGCACCAATTCAGAGATGATTTGAGGATCTACAGCCGAGTCATACACAAAAAGGATACATTTTTGTTAACAGTTAAGGTACTTGAATGCATTTTTAAGATTTAACTCCTGAGTTTAGTCTCACTTGAAAGTATATGTATGTATACATAGTGACCATTGTAAGCACACCTTATAGTGTTATAGTATGTCCGCACCATACTAATGTAAAATAAAATAAGGAATTCATATACTGTATATCATTACATGTATTTACTACATACAGTTATAAAAATGAAATATATTGGTGGTGATAGATGTCCTTTAGGATCGAGCACTGGATGTAAATATATGAAAGACGTGTTCTTATAGGAGTGTCTTCCATTTTTTTAAAAGCACGGTTCTGGTTCCAGTTCTGGCTGAGTTTTTAGCTCTCAGCATATCTGCATCCAATTCCTGCAGATTTACCCTGTGCCTATTTATTCTGTCTTAAATAGGCAAATGTGACATTATAATAAGTTATGTTTAAACACTATGTTCATAACAAAAAGAAGTATTTCATCAGTTCGTGGACCGCTTACTTTATCGCTAAAAATGTTTTGATCCCTGACCATCACACCTATGTGGCCAATCCTACGTGGACACCCCTCTGAATTATTGAGTTCAGGTGCTTCCATTATGGGGTACTATTAATACTTTACCATACAAAAACATTTTAGACAACTGTGCACTTAGAAATTTGTGGCAACAGTTTAGGAAAGGGCCCTTTTCTGTTACAGCATGACTGTACCCCTGCACACAAGTTGAGGTCCATAAAGTGGTGGAACGTGAGTGGTCCGCACAAAGCCCTGACCTCGGCCATAATGAATTCCTCCATTGGGGGTGATTTACTAACCTAAACACACGCACGCACTAGGTGTGTGTGATTTTTACACAGCAAAACGTATTTACCAACCAAAAAGTCTCTAAAAGCATATTTCCACTAATGCCATATATGGAAAAATCATGCACATGATGCATATATAATGCTGCTTCACAGTTTAGACAAAAATGGTTAGCTCATGCATTTACATTCCTGCATTCATCAACGCCAGCAGCACAATGTAGAGCTAATTTACACAACATCACCTTGCAATTCATGCAGGGCTTTGCACAACACACCTGCTGGGTGTGTACACACTACAAAGGTGTCTAGATTCCACCAATAGATCATGCTGGCAGGGAACACACTACAGAGGTGTATACATGTTTGTGGCGTGTTTATAAGGTTAGTAAATCAACCCCTTTAAGTGCAAAAGATGGGGCATATAAGGTATGTTATCACTAGTAAGGAATGTGAATCTACACTATTGTGCCATTGTATAACTGTCATGGCTTTTATTATAGTTCTACATTCACTAAACTCTATAGGTTCTTGCTCAATGTAAATATAATGTGTATCAGTTTTACTGGCAACATTCTTGAGAATAACACACAAGCCAATACATTTTCAGTACCGTAGCTACCTTTAAAACGTATAAAATGAGTAAAATGAACAGGTGGGGAAATAGCGGTATTGATTTGATCTCATAATTTTTTTTTCTCTTGCTTTGATATGAAACAAAAACTTCAATACATTTTACAAACATAAATACATACATTTGCTTGTTTTAAGGCAACAACATGTATATTTTACAAATTGAAATTTCTGAGGACATAAATATATTTCTTTAATGGTAACAGAAATGTATATTTGATAGCTTATTTTTATATGACAAAGTTTAATTTACAAAGGATGCTATTTTCAGTACCGTAGATTAGGTTTAGTGGTCAGGGAAGCCTGAACATAAGGTATGTTTTTTTGTTTCCCTTGTACATGATTGAATATTCTAAATGAGTAAAAGATCATTTGACCTATTATCTGTAACTAAATTACTAATTACTGTTATGTGAGCATTCTGTACACGGTTCTTATTAAACAACCACAATGCTAAGGTACTAGGCTCTACTTAGGAAATCAACCCTTATGATTGGTTGGTACTGGAATAAAAAAAATGGCCATTAATTGAGATTTATTTGAAATGTTAGTTTGCAGTTAGTCTACAATATCTGTGGACTGTTCACATACAGTATGTGAATGATCGCTAACCTGGTCAGAAACATTTGTCAGTTTCCTTTGCACGTGGGATGTACTCTTGCACTAAAATTGCAATTTATCTTTGATGGATATTAATGAATTACAATATGTAATTGTTACAGCAGAAAAACAGAACATACATAAAAATGATATAAATACATGTAACCATGGTGATGATCTACTTAAAGAGGAACTTGAAATGACAACAAAGACACCTTTAGAAATGTTTAACATTGGCAATCTACAAAACAGATTCTTATAGATAATTTGTTTTTTTTATTCTTTGCATCATTTTTCTTTTCTTCCGCAGTCTTCTCACAGTGGCCATTTTTTACTGAGGGCAGATTAATATATTTCCTTTTACTTCCTGGAACTCTGGCACATGTGACTAGGACATGTGACCATGCACATCATCTCAGGGGAGGAAAATGCCTTTCTCTGAGATCTCATGAGATTATAGATGAGATTTCCAAGCAATACTCTGCTGATGTAACCTTCCCAGGATGCAACGCTTGGGCAGATTACATGAGTAATGCCCAACAGGAACTGCAAAAACAATATGTCTAAGTAAAAGAGAAATATTTTTATTTTACTAATAATGTAAGATGAGCTGCATGCTGAGTGGATTTTTAGTTGAAAGGGGGTAAAGGACTGCTTTAAGAAATAGAGATTGATCAAATAGCAAAGTTAATGCTCACTTAGTTTTGTGATTAAGGTGAAGCTGTGTTCACTTACAATCACTTGTAGGCAAAAATCTATATTTTTTAAAATTTCCCTTGCACATTATTGGGTATTAAAAGTGAACACAACTTCATTTTATGTACAGAGCTAAGTGAACATTGACTTTTCAAAGTGAGAAACCTCTATTTCTTCAGTAAATCAGCCCATTGTGTCAGGACTTGCACTATTGTACACCACACATTTGAATTGTAACCTTTCTTTTGAAAAGGTGTTGCTTTTGTTGTGATTTGCAATAGCTTGGATTGTGACAGGGCTTTGTGCAATAGATCCTCATGCTAAGCAGCACTCCATATGTAAAATAAGATTTATGAACTGTTGGGGTGTTATAGGTGAACTCTACACAGAACAGATGTACAGTATCAGTCTTCCCAACCAGCTTTCTTCTGCCAATAACACATTATGGTCCCAAAGAAGTGTCTTTGGAGGACAAAACAATGGGATTAGAACATTCTGCTTGATCACCTGTACTAGTATGGTCTGCGTTTTCTCATACAACTAGAACTTGAACAATGGTTGTCCTCCATTATCAACAAAAGGAAAAACCTAATTTAATCTTCACTTAATGCTCTGACATGAGTTCCACAATTTCATGTAATGACTCACTTTGCTGTAATAGGCCACAAACCATTCTGTATCATACATTTCTATAAGGACCAGCCATACTTTTGTTTGAAATACTTGAAACTGAGACTGTATGTATCATTCCTTGAAAAATATTTTATATGAATAAAGTTTTATAGATGACGGTCTATATTGCCTTGTTCGTGTGTTTATTACAGTTGTGTATACTGTAATGTTTGGGGATATTAGCACATATAGTGAGCGCTTTAATGACACAGTCTACTCCCATTATCTTCTTTTTAAGGGCCTATTAGCCCACCTTTTTATTTAAACAAGTTCACACATACACCTTGGATTCCCTCGCAGGAGTGGTATAGTACAGCATCCATGCACTGCTTGCAAACAGCACAAGTATAGCCTCCTGACTTCTACTCCTAACTTTCATCATTCTGACCCACCGGCCCTTTCTGTAGTGTTGTCCCGCACTTGTAATGGTGGCCCCTCAAGCTCCCGGCTCTTCCAGCCTCACCAGGTCTTTCGGCCTCCCTGGCTGTCTTCGTGTTCCTTCAGGACACACACCACGTGACTCCACTTTCTTCTGGGGGAATCCTCCTGACTCCTGAACACCGTCTGTTCCAATTTCCCAGCAAGACCTCTCCTGACTCCTCTCTAACTTCTGGGGGAATCCTCCTGACTCCTGAACACCATCTTCTCCAATTTCCCAGCAGGAGCTCTCCCGACTCCTCTCTGACTTCTGGGGAGTTCTCCTGACTCCTGAACACTGTCTATTCAAATTTCCCAGCAGGAACTAATTCTCGTAGTCAGCATCCTTTCCTTAACCTCCCTGGCGGTATGATTATGTCAGGAATTTTGTACCAAAAGCGGTACAATTTTTTGCATGGAAATTTGGTGTTATGTATTGTAGGCCTCCAATTCTTAGTAAATCTTAGGAATAACTCACCTAAATCTGTCCAAACAAGAGTCCAGTAGACATCCCAGGTATGATAAAGTTTGAAACACGAAATTAAAAAATTATAATATAATAAATTATAAATAATTATAAGAAATTATAATATAATAAATAATTATAAATAATTATAAAAAAATTATAATATAATAATTTAAAAAAATGGTCCAGTAAATGGGAATTCTGGGGGCGCAGCCTGATCCGTACCACAGTCAATAGAGTAACAAGTTTGCACATCACTGAGAATGGTGAAGGAGGAAGGCGGGAGGATAAACTACATCAGCGCTTCCATCTCTGAGGCCTGCACCTCTATACCTATATATAGATTTATATCTATAGTGGGACCCACTGGGATCCTGTAATGCACTGTAGTAGCCGGAGCCTTCTCTTATCCAATGATAGAACACCTTGTATTAATTAATAAAATACTAGGCGTTCTCTGAATGCCGCTGTGCCGAGGGAACAACCTCCTGAGTTTTCAGAGCAGAGGAGAAGCTGCTCAGCTCTGCAGTATACAAGAGCCAGAAGATTTATGTAAAGCACTGTAGCAGCTCCAGCTACTACAGGAAATCCCTGTGTTGAAGGTGAATAGGTCAAGGTAAAGGTGCAGCAAAAGCTGGTTTTGTTATTTTATAATTTAATGGGCTGTTCATTTTTATCCTGTTATTTTTGGAGTTCTGCTTTAATATTAATATTAAACTAAACACAAAGTATTCTGTTATACGACATCTTTTTTTCTCCAAAAACATTCTGTATTTTCTTTCCATGTATAGCTGTCCTCTTCATACATTTCCTAGACAAATAAAACAAATTGAACAACAATATTAAAAGGGAACAAATATAAAAATTACAATATTGCTAAAGATATGACTTTTATACAAAAATACTGTATAATGACTCTGCTGGATAATTATTACAGGTATTTATATAGCGCCGACAATTTTAGGCTCCCCTTTACATAGTACACATTCATATCAGTCTCTGCCCACAAGGTGCTTACACTCTAAGGTCCCCATCTCACATGCATACACAGAGGGCCAATTTAGACAGAAGACAATTAACCTTCCTGCATGTCTTTGGAGTGTGGGAGAAAATTCGGAGTACGCGGAGGAAACCCACGCACAGAGAAAACATGCAAACTCCTTGCAGATAGTGGATAATAGGACAGGAGAAGAAAGTGCCACAACCTAGCACTAGTGGCTGTGGATGAGTTGGAACACGGAGTACAGATTATATTATACTCACGTGTGGGGGGGGATGGATATATGCTTCCGTAAGGCGGACCTTGTTGGAGGGGTGGTATTGAGGTATGGTTTGGATGGATGTTAGGCCTCACGGTTAGCGGTGTTGGGAACCAAAGTAGAGGATAATGATGGTACAGGTGAGAATTCAGGAATGGTTTATTCACGTGTGATATATGTGAGACTCGCCGTGAGGTTTGTGGTGATACAATGTCAATGACGAAGGTTTGGCGAGCGGATTAAAAATCCTAAAGACGGTGTGGTGAGCGGGTTCAGATCCAATCTGATCAGTGTGAAGTTGACGAGATGGTATCCAATTATGGGAGGGCTGGTTAATGCCCTAGAGGCAATCTCTGCTGTGTGGGCAAAGCTGGAGATGATCCTTTTGGTGTAGTTCTGCACATGCAAGTGCCAGCTGTGTGGAAGCTGTTTGTCAATCAAATGATTGTTGATCCTATTAATGATGATCCTGGGATACCTGGGGCAGGCTGTGTGGGGACTTGTCCCCAGTGGCAGCGGGGGAGATCTGCCATGCTGTTGTTGCACCGCTGATGTGACCTATGAACAACCCAGGGTCTGCATGTGAATAGGCTGCTCGGTGGTAAGCCCTAGGTGTCCCCATGTTCAATCTCAGCAGTGGTGTAGGGGGGAAGGAGAGCAAGGCAGGACGTGAGACTGGAAGGATTCCCTTAACACACCGCCTTGCAACACAACAGCGGTGCAACAACAGCGTGGCAGATCTCCCTACTGCCACTGGGGACAAGTCCCCACACAGCCTGCCCCAGGTATACCTGGATCCTCATCTGTACTCCATGTTCCAACTCATCCACAGCCACTTGCGCTAGGTTGTGGCGCTTCTTTCTCCTTCTTGTTTCTTCAGTACATACGGCGGACACCCCAGTCTGCACATACTAGAAGCAGCACACCAGCGATTAACACCCCTGGTCCCCCAGAGAGCGCTCGAACATTGGACTTTTCTTCAATTTTTCAGATAATAGGACAGGGCAGTTCACCCCATTGACTGTAATCCATTGGGACCCCCAGAATCATTTCCTGAGATTGTCAGGCATGCAGTAACCCTAGAGAGCCAAAATCCAGGCTAACTGGCTGGGGAGCCGATATGTATAACAGGAGGCTAGAATACAACATTGTTATATACATTGGTCCTCCCCAGTATGACTTTAACTCCGTACAACTCCCCAAAAAAATAGAATTAAAGTGTATCCAAACCCAAGAACAAAATGTAATATATTTACCAGTCTTTAGATGTTGGCTGAATTAGTTTTCTTTACCTTTATTTTCCCCTGGTGATCGGTCCAATAACACCCTGTTGGGAGCATGTCTAATGGTCATCTGCCTGGTGCAGCCTCCCAGCTCCTCCTGGTGGTTGCTTGCTGCCAGTGCACCTTTCAGCTGTGGGCTAATGAGCCGCCCTGACCAGAGTCTAAGCACCTCTACCTGACTACATTGTCAGCTGTGGGCTAATGAGCCTTGTCTTGTATCCTGCTGTGTCTCAGTATCCTGTCCCTGGAATTCTCTCTATATGCCTCCATTCCTGACCTCAGCCCGTCCCTTGTAAATATTCATGTCATGTCCTCCATCACCAGTCAGTACTTCTGCTCTGTACCTGGGGCCCGTCTGTCACATTATACAGTCAGAGTATATAGTTAAAGTTCTGGGGGCATCCGAGGTACTGGTAAGTGTGCTTGCTTAGGGAAAAGGCAGCTGCTATAGGTGGTGTCTGCACCCAGTCCTAACACACACTTCCTGTTCTAGTGACAATGATCACTGTACTAGGTCTATAGAAGAGCAGTGTTGTCACCATAGGTAGGGACGTGTGTTAGGACCAAAGAACACCTTACCCTCATCTCCATGACATGGGGGTTATTCTGTAGTCCTAACACACTTTCTGTTCACAAAAGGATTACAGATCGCACAGGACAGCACTGGATTTCTGGCAGGATGACCAGGAATTTTGAACAGATATAACGAAACACTTTCAACGGTATATTTAACAAGACCAAAATGCAGCAAATCGGAGATATTCATTGTTAGGGTTTACTTACACATTAACCATGACAACAGGGGATTTGTAGTCAATGTTAAGTTACCAGGTATTTCGGAAATTCATTTAGTTATTTTCTAAATTGAAAAGGAATACTTTCATTTACCTTTTTCCAAATAGGCACAGTGGCTTTCAAGGCATTTATACAATATTTCACAGCATCCAGGGAATCATTCCTGTGTGGTGAGGAAATAGCAATAGCTACACTGGCTTCAGTTACTGGAACCAACCTACCAACCAAAAGCATTGTTTATTAAAAAATGTTTAACACCGTTTCTAGCAGTTTAGAGAACTCGTATGTGATTAACCAGTTCTTCTCTAGTAGTTGTTGTCATTTGGATTGAGATGAGGATAATAATAATAATAATAATAATAATAATACCACCAAGGTGGTTGTGCTTTTTTTATATAAATTATATAAGTTCATAAATAACACCGGCAAAAATAAATCCACAAAACAGTACAGAATGCTTACGTTATAAAACTTTACCATATTACTTATCAAATGTTAGGTTAAAACAATATACCTACAATTATTCTTAAATATCTAAATGTGTGTAGTGTAGTGTAGCCTGGGTGCCCTAACCATGTACCCCTAGGTCTATGCCACATCCTTTTTCGGCCTAAACCTGCTAGTAACACAGTTGCTAAAAAAAGACACATATTTGGTATATTTATTAGTGGTAGGGTCCCGGGCACCTTGCCATCATAAGTTCCTGGTTACTTTAGAGACTCTGAGGGGAATTTATCAAAACGGGAGCAGCTGTGCATGGCAACCAATCAGCTTCCTTCTTTCATTTTCAAATCTTAACTGAACAAACTGAAGAGAGAAGCTGATTGGGTGCCATACACAGCTGCTCCAGATTTTGTCTGCTCCAGTTTTGATGAATTCCCTTCCATGTACTTACAGTTTGAAAAACCAGCAGTCACCTAACGGTTACTGACTTGTGTGCCGCATATGAACCGTCTTCATCGTAAAGCTTATGACAGTAGCGGCTAAAGGGTTTAACTAAAGCCCCTGATGCTGACATTGTTTAACCTACAGCCCCTGAATGATAAACCCCTTGATTCCAGTGAATCCAAACATAAAGAAGAACTCCAGGCAGTAAAAAAATAAAACTAACCCTTGCAGTGCGGCTATCCCCACACTGCAGGGGTTAACTGCTCATTTTGGTCCAGGTTCTAAAATAACAAAAAGGGATACTCACCCGATTCTTGGTCCCACAGTGGCAACTGCTCACCTCCCCCTCTCCCGGCTCTGGAATATCCCTTGGCGTCTTGACGTCTAAAAGACTGTATAGACCTGATTACATCACAGGTCATCATACCACCAGAGCAGAAGAGGCTGCAGGCACCGGTCTAGCAGCCAAGTGGGACCCAGGATGTGTGTGTGTGTGTGAATGACCAGAGTCACCAGTGCCTTCTCCTGCCAGCTGGTTATGATGATGGTGCAGGGGACTGGTGGGGTGCGGACGGCCCTTACTGTGTGACATGTGCTCACTAACTATAGTAAGATGGAACAAACCTTTCATAAATGGAGGCCAAGCAAACAATTCCCTACTGCTGTGTTTTTAGGTGAGGATCAGCCCTGATTTTATGGCCAATGACACCTAGAGAACGTTTCTAAGCAAAGCAAACTGACTTACCCTAGCCTGTGATGAACCACTATATGCTTCACACTTGGCCATTTCTGCCTAATGTCAGACAATATCTTCTTTATTTCCATCTCTGCCATTGGCACATAAGCTTCATACTCTAAACACGTCACGTTCTTCCCTTCAAAATGATTCCTCGTCGTGCCTGAAAGACAACAAAGAAAAGATTCACAGGCACAGATCACGGGGAGGAGTAAATGGAATCCTCTACCACAGGGGTGCCCACAATTTTTGTGTTAAGATCTACTTTTCAAATGACGAGCTACATGAGATCTACCAACGAAAAAAAACCTCACTTGCTCTCTCTCTCCTGGCTGTCTCTCCTCGCTCTCCTGGCTGTCTCTCCTCACTGTCTCTCCTGGCTGTCTCTCCTCGCTCTCCTGGCTGTCTCTCCTCGCTAGCTCTCCTGGCTGTCTCTCCTCGCTCGCTCTCTTGGCTGTCTCTCCTCGCTCTCCTGGCTGTCTCTCCTCGCTCGCTCTCTTGGCTGTCTCTCCTCGCTCTCCTGGCTGTCTCTCCTCGCTCTCCTGGCTGTCTCTCCTTGCTCTCTCTAAAGTCGCTGCTCTGCAATATTACAGAACACCGGGAAGCTAGACCTCGTACTTCTCCTCCTTTGGTGCTCAGCCCTCCATCCTAAAGTCGCTGCTCTCATGCCTTCATGTGTCAGACGCAGCAGACGGGGAGGGGCTAAACAGACCGTAGGAGGGTTCTCGGGATAGTGATCTACCAATCGTGATCTATCAGCATCAGCTTTGTGAGCTACTGGTAGATCACGATCTACCCAATGGGCCCCTCTGCTTTACCACATCTCCAATCTCAAATCAGTAACTCCAACAAAGCCTAAGATCAAACCAACAAAACCTAGGAGTCCCAACAGTCAACAACTGAATCCAATTGGAAAATGTGTGAATCTTGGGTGAAAACATTGATAAATAAACCCCATAATCTCAGCACTTCTGATTTCTTTACATGCAACCCGGTGCAGATATGTGAACACGTAATATTGAAAGCAATGTTTTTCTCTCCTGTAGGAGCGTTCTCATGCCATATAAAACATTCATTATGCCCCATAGGTATGAAACTGCTTCTAAACAGAACTCCTGTTTCAGTGATGTACTAGAAGTAATGCAGACTAGTATTTAGTGTGTATGATTATTTGGTGTAACACTCAGGGGTTCATTTATAAAAGTTTCCTAAATTCCCTATACCCATTAGCGCCATCTAGGGGTGCTGGTGAACCCCTGCAGGGGTAGACAAACTCCGGACCTCCAGCTGTGGTGCAAGACTTTGACAGCCACAAGCATGACTCCCAAAGGAAGATGCATGATGGAGTTTGTAGTTTCTCCTCAGCTGGAGGGACAGAGTTTGCCTACCCCTGCCCCATGGGATATCCAGATGTTTTTTTTTTGAAAGGCCAAAGCAGGGACTGTTCATTTAAAAAACAGACCGCTTGGGGTTTGCATCATCATGTAGTCATGTAAATGGGAAATGTAACCTGTTTCTCATGGTCTCTCGCCTATAGCGTCTATTAGTTTACTACATGGTGATGATTGGTACATTGGTGTCCCAGGGAATTCTTTAACCCGGCATTTCTCAACCATTTTTTAGTTACAGTTCCATTTAAAAGTGTACAAAATCTTGAGGCACCCCCAGTCTAAAATGTAAAATACAGTGAGGGGAGTTTATCAAAACTGGAGCAGACAACATCTGGAGCAGCTGTGCATGGCAACCAATCAGCTTCTCTCTTTCAAATATTAACTGAACAAACTGAACAGGGAAGCTGATTGGCAACTGCTCCAGATTATGTCTGCTCCAGTTTTGTGAAAATGTGCTCAATGTGTAATCCATACCAGACGCTTACTCCAGATATGGGCTCTAGTATGGATTTAAATTTGGGACCCCACACAAAAACTAATGTGGAGTTCCCCCCTTCACATTAGGGTCCCCCCTTTCACAGCAAAGTACCCCTGTACATCAGGCCCTGCTTCCCATTAGGAGCCCCCTTCACATCAGGAGACACCTATTCAAATCAGAGTCAGCCCCCCACTCACTACGAGTCCCCCTTCACATCAGAGCCCTTCTCCTCACATGAGGAATGATGCTGTGTGAAAATTAAGGCACCCCTGAGGAAGCTAGAAGGCACCCCAGCATGCCACAGCACCAAGTATATTTCCGATGTTCCTCAGCTCCCTCTAGTGGCCATAATGTGGTATTTTCCAATTGTTACATTCGACTTGAAAAGAAGATATATTAAGTGTGTTCATTTTTGCCTCCATTCACACAGAATGAACGTTCACAGAGATTTGCGGGGTTTGCAAATTGTTTATCAATAAATCCCCAAGTGAAAGGAAATCTCTACCAATGTCAGGGGAATTCCCCTCTTAGCTGTCATGGCAACAGGTGTACCCACTGGTGTACTAGCCTCACCTCCTGTTCTGGTGACACCTGCAAAGTTTGTCTTGAAAAAGGAGGATGGAAAGAAGCGCTGCAACCCTGGGATATTGTGGGGATAGTAAAATAACAACTTTGAAAACTTAAAAACAATACTGGACTGAAAACTCACTGTTTGGGTGGACAAGATGAGGTCTTGCAAATCAGAAGAAAGGCTGTATGAATCGCTCAGCAGTGTCTTGGGGCGATCGGTGTGGTGAGAGATGGTGGTGACAGCTAGGGGGCTCCTGTGGCTGGAGCGCAAGAATTTGCCGTCCTGTAGCCTTGTTTGTACACAGGCTCTGCACTGAAGGTGTTCGTGCCGTCTAATACCGTGGGAGGTCAGCTGGCCAGGCTGAGACCCGACGGCTGAACGGGAGCGAAATTGCCGCTCTGTAGCGGTTTGAAAAACTGTCAGCAGTCGTTGTGACAGATCGTTTTTGGAGATAGGCACGGGGCTGGAAACCAGTGCGGTCTATCTCGCTGGGTGATGGGAATGTCAATCGGGCAGTTTGGCTACGCGTTTCGAGGTTCAAGACCTCTTTGTCAAGCCAGAAGTGGTTTATTGGAACAGGCAGTAGAGACCTTTTACCATCTAGTGTATTCTGACCTATTGGAGGTATGCTCCAAAGCCAAAAAACACCCGAATCTTTCCCCAATGGAACACAAAGCCCTAAAAGAATTGGGCAATAACAAAAACATTGTGATAAAACAAGCTGACAAAGGGGGCGGAACAGTTATCCAAAATAGATCAGACTATACTAAAGAGGCACTAAGACTACTCTCAGATGAAAACACCTACAAACCCCTCCCACAGGATCCACTGTTCTTATACACCGAAGAACTGAATGTCATCATCGAACTAGCCTTCAAAAGAGACATCATATCAAAAAAAGAAAAATCATTTCTATACCCCAAATACCCGAGCACGCCCTATTTCTACCATCTACCCAAAATACACAAGAACATCGAAAACCCTCCCGGGCGTCCAATAATAGCCAGCACCAACAGCCTCACCAGCGGACTGTCCGTTTACATTGACCAATTCCTCCAACCCATAGTTACAGCCCTGCCATCCTATATCAAGGATTCAGGTCACCTTATCCAAGTCCTTTCCAACTATCTATGGAATGACACATACTGCTGGCTATCATTGGATGTTTGTTCTCCCACCTGTCAGTATTTTTAAACCGTTGCTTCTCCCGCCTGTTCCAATAAACCACTTCTGGCTTGACAAAGAGGTCTTGAACCTCGAAACGCGTAGCCAAACTGCCCGATTGACATTCCCATCACCCAGCGAGATAGACCGCACTGGTTTCCAGCCCCGTGCCTATCTCCAATAACGATCTGTCACAACGACTGCTGACAGTTTTTCAAACCGCTACAGAGCGGCAATTTCGCTCCCGTTCAGCCGTCGGGTCTCAGCCTGGCCAGCTGACCTCCCACGGTATTAGACGGCACGAACACCTTGAGTGCAGAGCCTGTGTACAAACAAGGCTACAGGACGGCAAATTCTTGCGCTCCAGCCACAGGAGCCCCCTAGCTGTCACCACCATCTCTCACCACACCGATCGCCCCAAGACACTGCTGAGTGATTCATACAGCCTTTCTTCTGATTTGCAAGACCTCATCTTGTCCAGTATTTCAGTCCAGTGAGTTTTCAGTCCAGTATTGTTTTTAAGTTTTCAAAGTTGTTATTTTACTATCCCCACAATATCCCAGGGTTGCAGCGCTTCTTTCCATCCTCCTTTTTACATGTGTCTGCAGGGTCCCTCCCCCTGAACGAGAAACTGGCTCACCCCATTCTTTAACTAATTTTTTTAAAAATTCGTTTTAACTTTTGTTTTCGTTTTTGTTTCAAAATTGTTCCAGAATTGTTTAGCATTAAAATTTATTTTAAATAGATCTATTCCTCCTGCCACATTGCATAACAGTTGTGCGCTCGCCCCTTTTTTACCGTTTTTAAAGTTTGTCTTGAGGCAATGACTGCCAGAACAAGTAAAGAGAGTGAATCTCTCCAACGGGCACATAGAAAATAATTTAGAAGTGGGCAACTCCCACCCACAAGCTGTGCTTTATCTACAAATCCCAACATGCCTCTGGGAGTCATGCCTGTAGCTGTCAGTCTTGCAATGCCTCATGGGACTTGTAGTTCCAGAACAGCTGGAGAGCCGGAGTTGCCCACCTCTGGTCTAACCCTTCCCCCACGATCAAAAACGAAAGAATAAAAACATTTTTTTGTATCACATACAATGGTTGTAGATCATTGTGTGGTTATGAATGAGCAGTTGGTTGCTCGGCTTTGTGCTTGATAAGAGCGAACGTTTATTATAGAAACTGATCCAGCATGAAAAGGTTTCATCTGAACTCCCTCTGGACAAGCAGCATTGTTATCTGGTGTCACTTTGGGAGCCGCGTGAATAAATGTGGGATGTCCTGGTATAAAGTGTCTCCAGTACCGTCATGTACCTATGAAGAGGGACACCGCCCCACAGCTCGGAGAAACCACCAACTGAGAAACTTCATCCACGGAGAGCTTTTCTGGTGATACTCTAATGAAGTCTTCAGGCTCCTCACCATCCCCCATAGCAGCTGGAGAGGAAGGAGAAAAAGTGTTAGGACATTTAACGTTTAACGTGCACGTTAACCCCAACAATGGAGCCCTTTTCAAGAAGAACTCCAGGAAAATTGTATTAAAAGAGAACTATGGGGTAAGTGTTTTTCCCCATAGTTCTCTTTAGGGTCACGGCGGACATATACTAACCTCCTCCCGTGACCCAAAGCTCAGTATATAGCGAGCTATTGCCCGGAATATATCGAGACCGCCGCAGCCGGGACGGATCCCGACAATACTGTTGAGATCCACCCAGCTGTGTGATTGACAGCTGGCTCTGCTTATCTAGGGGCAGAGCCAGCTGTGCCCTCCCCTTCCCCCGTCCATTCCTCCAGTCAACACTGGAGGATTGGAGAGGTGAGGGGGGAATCCCTGCGTGACCAACAGTCACCGCTCACTGCAGGGAGACGATCGGGAAGTGAGCGGATCGGCTGCATGTTTCAGCTCACTTCCCGATCTATAGAGCCGACCTGTTAAAGTTTCATTATCACACGTCGGCTCGAACTATAAGGATGAGTGAAAATCACTCACCTCATAGATCTCCTTTAACCCTTGCAGTGGGGTTACCTGCTCGTTTTGGTCTAGGGAGGAAAATAAAAAAGGTATACTCACCTGATCCTCTGTGCCAGCGTGCTCTTAGACCGGTCCTTCCAGCCTTGCAGTTAAGCGCCCATAAGCAGGTAGCCCCACTGCAAGGGTTAATAAAAATGGGCCCAGAGTTCTTCTTTAAATATACCATTGAAAGTGTTTTGTTTTATCTGTTTGAAATCCTGCTGGTCCTGAGAGAAAAATAGGACGTCTGTCTTATGGGATCATTAACTGCCCCATGCTCACAGAGAACAATGGGGGGACATCAGCTTCTCTCTTTCATTTTCAAATCTTAACTGAACAAACTGAAGAGAGAAGCTGATTGGTTGCCATGCACAGCTGCTCCAGATTTTGTCTGCTCCAGTTTTGATAAATCCCCTTCAATGAGCGTTGTCACTCTAGGGCAGGAAGTGCGTTACAGGCAGGATCACCAGGTGGAAATAAAGGGGAAAAAAGCCTAAAAAAAGCAAACGAATGCCACCACCACATCACAGAGGCAAAGTGCAGGAGTTGTGTTATTCTGGATCACTATAGAAATGTAGAAGAAATATGCAGTGGACATCATGACTTAAATTGTAGTGTGACAATATGGATTTAGGATCTAATAACCCAGACATGTCATACCTTAGAGTCCTATCCCCCACTGATAGGTGGAATGATGGCAACTTCGTCCCCAGGGCGCAAACTTATGGCCTCATCACCGATGGCAACATATTCCTGACGGATAGCGAGGACCACATGATCCTGAATGGAGCAAAGCCTTTAGAGAAAGGGAGTCATCAAGTTAAAGGAAATGTCCACAATACATACACGGTTTTAGGGAAATAATGAACACTGTTACCATGAAGTCAATAAAACCTGTAATTACATATGCAGTAATACCATTTGCAGGGCTATACACAAAAAGGGTGAAGAGTTTGGAGACCGCAGGAGAAGTGAAAAATCTAGGACAACATAGCTGATTTGGAAAAATTCTCCAATTCAGCTCACTTTCCAGTTCAGTTATGTTGTCCTAGACCTAGATTGTTCACTTCTCCTTCCTTCTCCAAACTCTGCAACCCCATTGTGAATAACCCTGATAGCGCTGGATCACTGAGGGGTCAGCTTGTAAAACTTTTCTGGAGATGTGTGTGTGCATTGAGTGTTTACAGACATAGCAATTGCGACTGTTTGAACTTGCATGGGATATATTTGACGAGCTTTGCGCCAGATTTATGTTTCTGGTATAATGTCTGATCATAAATGAGATTACATAGACTCCAGGAAAGAAGACTCGCAACTCCAGGCAAGGAGCTTAACTGTCGCTGGGCATGTTTGATAAGAGCAAGAAGCTAAGTGGTCATGGGGACTTTTTAAGTTGCGATTGTTTTGTTTGGTGATGCTTCAGTTTCAGACAGGCGCAGGAGAAGCGCAAATGTAATCAGTCGTGAACTGTCACAAAGCACTCGCAAACATCAGGAAAATAGCGCACGCTCAGGGCAAAACAGGCACACGTCATAACAGGAGCTGCTAAACATATTTGTGCTTACAAAAATAGGATAAAACAATCGTAATTGTGTTCATAAATACCCCCAATGTCTTTCAAGTGGAACTACAACCTCCTATCCCGTACAGCCAAAGAAGGTGCCGTCTAAACGCTGTGACACACTGCACCGAAGCACCACGGAGCGGTGGCGCGCTGCCTTCACGTGCAGTGTCATGTCTTTTTATTTTCCGGCATGTCAGCTTGCGAAAGCTCGCATAGCTGAGCGTGCTGAGGTGAAAAATGTCATTGGCTGAAGATGCTGTCTTTCATTTGACTGCACTCAGCTCACACACTGCATGCGAAGCTCCGTGCCTGACAGCTTTGCTTCGCTCTGCACGACTTTGCATGCAGTGTGTCACGGGCTTTAGCCTGCATTTCAGGGGTGAGTAAACTCCGGCTGTTTTGCCTGAAGAAGGGGAGCCTGCATGACCCCGAAATATCGTATTATGTGATACTGAGCATGCATGAATAAATGCGTGTTGATCAGCATTCTGGAGTGCCAGTGGCCCCTTCTTTTCTGATATTGAGCGGTGCCGTCCGTTTGTCACTGGAGTTTGAAGGGACTTGGACATTACATAGAAGTCCATATTCACAGGGCTGAGTGAAATGGTGTCAGTGCATTGAGGAAGTCCATCCTATGGTGTACATTTACAAACTTCTCAACTGCAACGGTTATTGGTATATTATTGGTTATTGGTATAAAACCTATTGGAAATTCAGTATAGCAATACAGATTTATTTTTAGTTCCCTTTAAGAAATCAGATTTAAAGTGACAGTTCAGTGGCACTGTGCTGCCACAGTGGTTGCATAGAATATGACAATCCATAGTCATAGTTACTACTCACATTAATGTGAGATGAGAATTTATATACCGTATATACTCGAGTATAAGCCGAGATTTTCAGCCCATTTTTTGGGGTGAAAAGTGCCCCCCTCGGCTTATACTCGAGTCAGCGCCAGCGCGTCTTCTTACTTACCTCGCCGAGCGTCGCGTCACTGCTGCTCGGTGTGCGGCGCTCCGAGCGGGGTCATCTGGCAGTCTCCGGCCACCTAAATTAGGACCCGGAGACTGCCAGATGACCCCGCTCGGAGCGCCGCACACCGCAGCAGCAGCGACGCTCGGCGAGGTAAGTAAGAAGAAGAAAAAACCCCCCGCAGCGGCCAGTCAGGCAGGGGAGCAGGGATGAGTCAGCGGCGCGCTGATCAGGCGAGAGGAGCTCCAGGTGGGGTTGTAATTTAGCGGGCAGGCACCTCTGAGCCAGCTAAATTAGGACCCCACCTGGAGCTCCTCTCGTCTGATCAGCGCGCCGCTGACTCGTCCCTGCTCTCTCCGTGATGTGATGATCCGATCACCGGCACACAGTGAGTGAGGGGGAGGGAGGGAGGGGGGGTAGAGAGAGAGATTAATTAAGCAATTATATATGTATTGTCTGCACTGTATTAGCAGTATATACTCTATATAGAGTATATACTGCTAATACAGTGCAGACAATACATTTACAATTATACTAACATGAATGTATTAAATGATCTGTATGTAGCCCTGTACTATGGATCATTTAACCCATTCATGTTAGCAGAGGATCACTGTAAATGTATTGTTGCAGGCACTCTATATGTACATGTACTATATACTACATATAGAGTGCACTGAACAATAGATTTACAATTATCCTCTGCTAATATGAATGGGTTAAATGATCCGTAGTACATGATATGTAGCCCTGTACCCCCTTTTCCACTTACAGAGCTAGGTTATTTTTCTTTTAAATAAATATTAATGTATTTTAATGGTATCTATCTACCAGTAGCTGCCTCATTTCCCACCCTCGGCTTATATTCGGGTCAATACTTTTTCCCAGTTTTTTTGGCTAAAATTAGGTACCTCGGCTTATATTCGGGACGGCTTATACTCGAGTATATACGGTAGTTTATTTTCCTTAAGCCATTTGCTCATTGATATTGTATGGCTAATTCATGTGCTGACCTCTAGTGGTCATTTTGGTTATTGCACTGGTTATGTTTTTCTGTGTTCCCTCCCATCTATGATGTATTTCCCCTTGCGTGTAATGTTCCGCTCTTCTTCTCCACTAGTCTAGTGTCATGGCTGACAGTAACTTGACCACATGTTAATCTGCATTGCATGCTTGGAAACATTACTATCTCTGACATTCAAATACCGTCTATTCATTCATCTGCTGTATCCTGTTGTCTGCTGTAACCTGCTGCATGCAATAAAGCAGGAAGAAAAGGCATTTGTGGAAGAAAAGGCATTTGGTGAGTTCAGCTATTTGATAAGGATTGTCCGCAGTGATATCTGTTTATACAGACCAGGCATAGAGGTCTCAGCAAGGGATAAATCGTTAATACAACAATCAGAGTCAGAATAGGCTCTGAAGATGCGGAAGGTGTTGTGTGCCATGTTTCAGGTCTCTCGTCGTCTCTTACCTCGGGTGCAGCGAAGTAATTTCCTCCCACAGTTGCCTTGTTGTTGTTTCTTGGGGGACAGTCACGTTCTCTGAGCGAACTCCGGCCAGTTCACAGCTTTTTGCAAAGTACAAGACCACCACCTGCGGATGAACAGAAACCCAACGTTCAACTTAAACCAACTTCAACACAACGTGACACCTTTAAAAACAACAACAGGGCAAAAAGACACATTTGGGGCTCATTCACAAAAGGTGCACAGAACTACCGTGTTTCCCCGAAAATAAGACACTGTCTTATATTTTTTTTGCCGCAAAAAAACACACTAGGTCTTATTTTCAGGGAATGTCTTGTTTTTTTTTTTTAATGTGCAACAAAATGTACAACAATCCAAAGTTATGTTCAAAGTTATTAACCGGCGCTATAGAGGAAGTGTCGGCTAATGCGACTCTGCTCCCTCCGCCGCCGCAGCCTTGCTACAGCACCGGCCTCCTTTGCCATCAGGGACAGTGGTACCAGCGGTGCAGCAGAGGGGACATCAGACAGTGGACAGCGCGGTAAAATACGGTACCATTTACCGGTACACATTACAGTACCGTGCCATTACATTAAACAGTGCCTTCAGGGGGACAGCAGTTGGTGAAGTATGGTACTGGAGAGCTCCCTGTCACTGCGCTGGCCAGAGGGAGTCTCCTGTCATCCCCTTAATACAGTATGTCCCTGCAGGCTGATACCATATCTCCTGCTCTTCAAGTTCCCCCTCACATGCTACCACCCAACTAGGTCTTATTTTCGGGGTAGGTCTTATATTACAGGAATCTTGAAAAATAGTGCTAGGTCTTACTTTCGGGGTAGGTCTTATTTTCGGGGAAACAGGGTAGATCACGGTAAACCCAACGCAAGGCTACCTCTGTGTGCCTCCTTCATACCAACCAGTGTGTTGGTGCAGGTGACATAAAAATGAAGCATGTTCATGCAACATAAAATAGGGTGCTACAACGCACACAAGAGAGTGTCACAACACCGTGGTGCGTAGAGTTAAACCAAGGGTTCTTTATATTAAGTTTTAAAAAAATGTTTTGCAAAGCATGGCAGAGTGGGTGCACAGTACACACCGGGGCACACGTGTAGTACTTGCCCACTGGTGTGAGTGAGTCCTTAAAATATCATTTTGACCCCCAATTAGAGTAAGGAGGCATTCACACCAACATCGGAAAGGAAATCGCAAACCTTTTTTTGACTTGCAATTGTACCTTCCAATTTCCTGCCAATCCATTGCGACACATTTTTAGGTGCTAACGGAGGGGCGCTGAAAAATGAATGGGTGTGAATGGGGCTAGGTCCCACTGGATCCAATGCGTTGCGTTGTGCTGAAAAAAGTAGTGCATGTTTTACTTTTTTTTCAGCGCAATGGAACGGAGCATTGAACTAGTCCCATCCACACCCATTCATTTTCCATTAGCGGCCATTGAAAAACCTATCGCAATGCAGTGGGTTCAGTGTGAATGGGCCCTCCCCTCCCTTCCTACCTCCATCTAGACATAAACGTCTGCAGGTTGGCACAACGTTGGTTGTCCTGGAAAGACATTATCTATGATGGCTGAGAGACAAGATGGCGGCACTCAGCCATATCTAACCCTTGGGGGGCCGGCTGGAAATGTTTGAATACGAGGCATTACAGATAAATTAGAACATGACTTAAGCCCCCATTCACACCATAACGTCGCGGGAACATGTGTCACGATGACGTGCGTTTGTGGCATTTGGCATGCATCCCCATTGATTTCAATGAGTCCCCAGACACGCCCCAAATGCAGAAAATTTTGCGACATTTGCACCACATTTTGTCCCAGACGTTCGTGCACATTTGCCTGCACGTGAAAACGTTGCATTTGCTTGGCAGCATTGGAGGTGCCATTAACTAGAATTAACACTGCCAGCACGTTACACGTTTGGCGCACGTTTCTTAAACGTGGGTGGAAGCACGCACATTTCTGCACGTTTGACGCGCATTCAAGATATGCCCATATGTGACTGGGGCTTAAAGGAGAAGTACACCCGTCCCAATACTTAGAGCCGGCAGTGAGAAGTGCAGGTAAAGCATTCTGGGGGGGGATTCATAATAACTGGAGCAGACCCACAACACCCAATCAGGAACGCGTTAATTTCCACAAGATTGTGTATGATAGTGTTTGGTGCGCTTATGGTTTCCTAATGGCAACCCAACGCACGTGCATTGTCACATCAGTCTCGCAATGCCTCCTGGGACTTGTAGTTGCTGACCCCTGCTCTACGTATTGCTTTGCAGCAGTGGCGTAACAACCGGGGGGGCAGCAGGGGCGCGGGCCCCGGGCGAAAAGTGAAGGGGGGGCGCCGATGCAGTGCTCACTGTCCCCCACGACTGCTCTGCAGGGTTCAATTAACCCCCCCGGGATCACATGACTGTCAACAGAAACACACGGTGTGGGGTGGTTCCAGGTCACACTTCCTATCTGATCCTCCTGTGATCACTGCTACTATTGCACAACACACAATGAATGCAGCCAATGGGGTAATGAGCTCAGTGCATTGCACTGCAACACTCCGCCTTACCTCACAAGTCATGAAGCCAGAGGACGGAGATGTGGACGGGTCACACTGATCCGACACTCCGCACTAAATTACACTGCAAACTGACAGCAGGAAGACAGGCGAGGATCCGCCCACACACCGAGAGCTGCGCGCAGAATGGTGAAACGGCTGGGCGGCGTGTTATGAAGTTTGTGGTTGGTCAGGAGCTGATCACACCCACATTGACGATTTGACGGGTCACGTGGGTGAGCTGTGTACGGGGAGCGCTGTGTCAGCGATTATTAATTAATCATATGTATATGATCCGCCCGCCGTGTCACTACATCCGGATCACCCGCACTATACACAGATCACCCGACTTGACAGTGTACAGCGCGGAGGGGGGGACGTGGAGGAGTAATAATTAATGTACCCCCAGATCAGGGGAATTAGTATGAATGATGAGGTGAGAAAGAAGAATAAAAGAATTCGGAGTGTGGAGTGCTGACCGCATGTGACCCCCGGAGCTGCTCTATACAACTATTATCTGCAGCAATCACATCGGTGGTGGTCAGTGCAGTGTCCTCTTACATTGGTGGTCAGTGCAGTGTCCTCTTACATTGGTGGTCAGTGCAGTGTCCTCTTACATTGGTGGTCAGTGCAGTGTCCTCTTACAGAGGTGGTCAGTGCAATGTCCTCTTACATTGGTGGTCAGTGCAGTGTCCTCTTACATAGGTGGTCAGCGCAGTGTCCTCTTACATTGACGGTCAGTGCAGTGTCCTCTTACATCGGTGGTCAGTGCAGTGTCCTCTTACATCGGCGGTCAGTGCAGTGTCCTCTTACATTGACGGTCAGCGCAGTGTCCTCTTACATCGACGATCAGTGCAGTGTCCTCTTACATCGGTGGTCAGTGCAGTGTCCTCTTACATCGGCGGTCAGTGCAGTGTCCTCTTACATTGACGGTCAGCGCAGTGTCCTCTTACATCGACGATCAGTGCAGTGTCCTCTTACATCGGTGGTCAGTGCAGTGTCCTCTTACATCGGCGGTCAGTGCAGTGTCCTCTTACATTGACGGTCAGCGCAGTGTCCTCTTACATCGACGATCAGTGCAGTGTCCTCTTACATCGGTGGTCAGTGCAGTGTCCTCTTACATCGGCGGTCAGTGCAGTGTCCTCTTACATTGACGGTCAGCGCAGTGTCCTCTTACATCGACGATCAGTGCAGTGTCCTCTTACATCGGTGGTCAGTGCAGTGTCCTCTTACATCGGCGGTCAGTGCAGTGTCCTCTTACATTGACGGTCAGCGCAGTGTCCTCTTACATCGACGATCAGTGCAGTGTCCTCTTACATCGGTGGTCAGTGCAGTGTCCTCTTACATCGGCGGTCAGTGCAGTGTCCTCTTACATTGACGGTCAGCGCAGTGTCCTCTTACATCGACGATCAGTGCAGTGTCCTCTTACATCGGTGGTCAGTGCAGTGTCCTCTTACATCGGCGGTCAGTGCAGTGTCCTCTTACATTGACGGTCAGCGCAGTGTCCTCTTACATCGACGATCAGTGCAGTGTCCTCTTACATCGGTGGTCAGTGCAGTGTCCTCTTACATCGGCGGTCAGTGCAGTGTCCTCTTACATTGACGGTCAGCGCAGTGTCCTCTTACATCGACGATCAGTGCAGTGTCCTCTTACATCGGTGGTCAGTGCAGTGTCCTCTTACATCGGCGGTCAGTGCAGTGTCCTCTTACATTGACGGTCAGCGCAGTGTCCTCTTACATCGACGATCAGTGCAGTGTCCTCTTACATCGGTGGTCAGTGCAGTGTCCTCTTACATCGGCGGTCAGTGCAGTGTCCTCTTACATTGACGGTCAGCGCAGTGTCCTCTTACATCGACGATCAGTGCAGTGTCCTCTTACATCGGTGGTCAGTGCAGTGTCCTCTTACATCGGCGGTCAGTGCAGTGTCCTCTTACATTGACGGTCAGCGCAGTGTCCTCTTACATCGACGATCAGTGCAGTGTCCTCTTACATCGGTGGTCAGTGCAGTGTCCTCTTACATCGGCGGTCAGTGCAGTGTCCTCTTACATTGACGGTCAGCGCAGTGTCCTCTTACATCGACGATCAGTGCAGTGTCCTCTTACATCGGTGGTCAGTGCAGTGTCCTCTTACATCGGCGGTCAGTGCAGTGTCCTCTTACATTGACGGTCAGCGCAGTGTCCTCTTACATCGACGATCAGTGCAGTGTCCTCTTACATCGGTGGTCAGTGCAGTGTCCTCTTACATCGGCGGTCAGTGCAGTGTCCTCTTACATTGACGGTCAGCGCAGTGTCCTCTTACATCGACGATCAGTGCAGTGTCCTCTTACATCGGTGGTCAGTGCAGTGTCCTCTTACATCGGCGGTCAGTGCAGTGTCCTCTTACATTGACGGTCAGCGCAGTGTCCTCTTACATCGACGATCAGTGCAGTGTCCTCTTACATCGGTGGTCAGTGCAGTGTCCTCTTACATCGGCGGTCAGTGCAGTGTCCTCTTACATTGACGGTCAGCGCAGTGTCCTCTTACATCGACGATCAGTGCAGTGTCCTCTTACATCGGTGGTCAGTGCAGTGTCCTCTTACATCGGCGGTCAGTGCAGTGTCCTCTTACATTGACGGTCAGCGCAGTGTCCTCTTACATCGACGATCAGTGCAGTGTCCTCTTACATCGGTGGTCAGTGCAGTGTCCTCTTACATCGGCGGTCAGTGCAGTGTCCTCTTACATTGACGGTCAGCGCAGTGTCCTCTTACATCGACGATCAGTGCAGTGTCCTCTTACATCGGTGGTCAGTGCAGTGTCCTCTTACATCGGCGGTCAGTGCAGTGTCCTCTTACATTGACGGTCAGCGCAGTGTCCTCTTACATCGACGATCAGTGCAGTGTCCTCTTACATCGGTGGTCAGTGCAGTGTCCTCTTACATCGGCGGTCAGTGCAGTGTCCTCTTACATTGACGGTCAGCGCAGTGTCCTCTTACATCGACGATCAGTGCAGTGTCCTCTTACATCGGTGGTCAGTGCAGTGTCCTCTTACATCGGCGGTCAGTGCAGTGTCCTCCTACATTGACGGTCAGTGCAGTGTCCTGTTACATTGTCGGTCAGTGCAGTGTCCTCTTACATTGACGGTCAGCGCAGTGTCCTCTTACATCGACGATCAGTGCAGTGTCCTCTTACATCGGTGGTCAGTGCAGTGTCTTCTAACATCGGCGGTCAGTGCAGTGTCCTCTTACATTGACGGTCAGTGCAGTGTCCTCTTACATCGACGGTCAGTGCAGTGTCCTCTTACATCGGCGGCCAGTGCAGTGTCCTCTTACAATGACGGTCAGTGCAGTGTCCTCTTACATTGACGGTCAGTGCAGTGTCCTCTTACATTGACGGTCAGTGCAGTGTCCTCTTACATAGGTGGTCAGTGCAGTGTCCTCTTACATAGGTGGTCAGTGCAGTGTCCTCTTACATTGACGGTCAGTGCAGTGTCCTCTTACATCAGTGGTCAGTGCAGTGTCCTCTTACATCGGTGGTCAGTGCATAATCCTCTTACATTGGTGGTCAGTGCAGTGTCCTCTTACATTGGTGGTCAGTACAGTGTCCTCTTACATAGGTGGTCAGTGCAGTGTCCTCTTACATAGGTGGTCAGTGTAGTGTCCTCTTACATAGGTGTTCAGTGTAGTGTCCTCTTACATAGGTGTTCAGTGCAGTGTCCTCTTACATCGGCGGTCAGTGCAGTGTCCTCTTACATTGGTGGTCAGTGCAGTGTCCTCTTACATCAGCGGTCAGTGCAGTGTCCTCTTACATTGACGGTCAGTGCAGTGTCCTCTTACATTGACGGTCAGTGCAGTGTCCTCTTACATTGACGGTCAGTGCAGTGTCCTCTTACATAGGTGGTCAGTGCAGTGTCCTCTTACATTGGTGGTCAGTGCAGTGTCCTCTTACATAGGTGGTCAGTGCAGTGTCCTCTTACATTGGTGGTCAGTGCAGTGTCCTCTTACATTGGTGGTCAGTGCAGTGTCCTCTTACATAAGTGGTCAGTGCAGTGTCCTCTTACATTGACAGTCAGTGCGGTCTGCCTAGACTCCTGATATTTCCCCAAAGCCCCCTACAGTTTTAAAAACAAAAAAACAGAACCCCCCCCCCCTCCCCCGCACGCACGCACACACTCATGCACACATATTACTAGACATGTGCACAATTTTCCGCTCTTGCCTCAGGCGCAAAAGGAGCTAGCTACGGCTCTGCCCGGCGGCACACCTTGTCTCTCTGCCTTGGAACACCAGCGTCCATCACCAAGATGGCAGCTGTCTGTTAACAGTGCGTGACAACATCAGGCGAGTGCGCAATGACGTCAGATGCATACGCAATGGTGTCACTGCAATGTGTCACCCAGTACCCACTCCAGGTGACACCCTGCCTCGGAACGTCTCTGGAGAGGGATCACCTTAGATGGGTGGTCAGTGGAGAGGGATCACCTTAGATGGCTACTTTTGTTTCCCATGGTACCTGTGTGTGTGTTGTAAAGTAGTCACCACTCCAAGCTCACTCCTGTGATGGACTACAATCTCAACTTCCCTTTGCAGCTGAGTGCCTCTTCCTGTAGTGCTGGCTCAGGTTGTGAACCTTCACACAGACACCATGGGAGTGATTTACTAACCTAAACACACGCACGCCCTGGTTATGGGAATTGCTCAGATATCTTACACAAATACACTACATGTGTGAACCTGATGGACTTTTTTTCAACCTTACCTACTATGTAACTTAAAGTGACATTAAAAGAGAACTATGGGGTAAGTGTTTTTCCTCATAGTTCTCTTAAGGGTCACGGGAGGACATATGCTAGCATCCTCCCGTGACTGAAAGCTCAATATACCGCAATGCTATCGAGATCAAACCCAGCTGCGTGAATGACAGCTGGCTCTGCCTATCTAGAGGCAGAAGTGATTCAGCGCTGACTGCTGTGTCTTCTGTGTCCCCCAAAGTCTGTGCGGGTGCACTCTGCCAGGCTGACTGCATAGACTTACCTTGTGTCTCTCCTCGTCTCCCGGCCGAAGATCTATACTGTGCATGCGCCCGCCCCATCATCCTTTGCGGCTGCCCGAGATTTTTC